ATATAGGCCATACATCCCAGAGACTAGCTGATTACAGTGAAACAAAGAACTGCAGATGCTGGAGATCTGAACAAACAAAATTAGAAAGTGCTGGAGAAACTCAGCAGGTTTGGCAGCATCTATGGAGAGAGGGACAGAGTTTAATGATTTGAGTCCAGTGACCCTTCTTCAGAACTGGCACATCACATGAAGATGCTGACCATACCCAAACAGCCTGTGCCTGGAAACCTTAAAATGTAGTGTCCAACATACTGTGATGAGACAGCAATTGCTTGTAATAATCTCAAGTACTTGAAGAATTGTACTGAAAGCCATTTTAACATTGTCAGTTTGGCTCACAGTGTGACAGAGAGAACACGCTGCACACGCTGTCAACTCATAATAGGTGACAGCCATTCTCTGGATCATTTCTGAGCCAATCACAGTCAACCCTTTCTGTTTTAAAATTAAGCAAAGCTTGGCAATTAACTGTCATAGAGTCATACAGCACGGAAACAGACCCTTCGGTGCAACCAGTTCATGCCAACTATAATCCCAAACTAAACTAGTCCCACCTGCCCTGCTCTTGACCCTTATCCCTCCAAACCTTTTGTATTCATGAGCTTATTCAAATATCTTTTAAGGGTCGTGACTGTACTCACATTCACCACTTCCTCTGGAAGTTCATTCCACACACCAGCCACTCTTTGTATAAAAAAAGTTGTCCTTTACGTCCTTTTTAAATCTTTCTCCTCTCACCTTAAAAACATGCCCGCTAGTCTTGAAATCGCCCACCTTAGGGAAAATGTCTTGCTGTTCACCTTATCTATACCCCTCATGATTTTATAAACCTCTATAAGGTCAACCCTCAACCTCCTACGCTCCAGTCAAAGAAGTCCCAGCCTATCGCAGCCTGTCTCTATAATTCAAATATTCCCGGCATGCTCTGGTAAAATTTTTCTGAACCGTCTCAATAATATCCTGTCACTTTCATCTCCATGGTATCGCTGTGCCAGAGTCTGCTTGCCAACCAATCAGCTTTCCTCTCGTACAATATCAAAGTTAGTTTCCCTCTACATTGGTAGTTCCTGTGAATTGTCCTAATGTGTGTAACACAGAAGGTTTTGACAAATTCTTTTTTAGTAATACTCAATTATATAGGATTTGACATTAATTCTAACATGTAATGGTTTTCTCGCTAGAAGAATTGGTCACTCAATCTCTGAGGTGTAATAAAATAAAAATTTCAAAAAAAGTTGGAAAGTTTTATTTTAAAATTTTAATAGTCATATTGTATGAATTAACATTACAATATGTTAGATCTCTTTCATACACTTTCAAGATATATATGTATTAAAATAGCACATTCAGTATTATTTTCTGAAAGATATTTTTATGAGATGCAGATGTCGGGTAAGAGTTTGCACTTGGTTACATAAAACAGATGCTGAAATACTTAGAGATAGCAGGAACTGCAGATGCTGGCGAATCTGAGACAACAAGGTGCAGAGCTGGATGAACACAGCAGGCCAAGCAGCATCATAGGAGCAGAAAGGCTGACGTTTCGGGCCTAGACCGTTCATCAGAAATGGGGGAGGGGAAGGGGGTTCTGAAATAAATAGGGAGAGAGGGGGAGGTGGATAGAAGATGGATAGAGGAGAAGATAGGTAGAGAGGAAACAGACAGGTCGAAGAGGCGGGGATGGAGCCAGTAAAGGTGAGCGTAGGTGGGGAGTTAGGGAGGGGATAGGTCAGTCCAGGGAGGACGGACAGGTCAAGGGGGTGGGATGAGGTTAGTAGGTAGGAGATGGGGGTGCGACTTGAGGTGGGAGGAGGGGATAGGTGGGAGGAAGCACAGGTTAGGGAGGCAGGGACGAGCTGGACTGGTTTTGGGATGCGGTAGGGGGAGGGGAGATTTTGAAACTTGTGAAATCCACATTGATACCATTGGGCTGCAGGGTTCCCAAGCGGAATATGAGTTGCTGTTCCTGCAACCTTCGGGTGGCATCGTTGTGGCACTGCAGGAGGCCCAGGATGGACATGTCATCTGAGGAATGGGAAGGTGAGTTGAAATGGTTCGCGACTGGGAGGTGCAGTTGTTTATTGCGAACCGAGCATAGGTGTTCTGCAAAGCGGTCCCCGAGTCTCCGCTTGGTTTCCCCAATGTAGAGGAAGCCACACCGGGTACAGCGGATGCAGTATACCACATT